TAGTAAAGGCAAAAAACTAAGAATGGGAATTGGAAATTTCTCATGATAGTTTTTTTATCCTCTTTGGCTTTTTATTGATTTGGTAGTATCTTCATATGCAAAACCAAAGGCAATGAGAGTATTGCTAGCAATCATTTAATGATGGAGATTTGTTTAAAGATCTGGTTGATAAAGATATGGACTTTGGAAAGTTTTATTTGTGACTAGTAGTAAGGTCGGTGAAGATGATAAGGATTGCATGGGATGAAATTCTTAGATAGTTGCCCACCAAGTGTGACTACTTGCACATAAAAAGGTTGGTGTAGATGATACGATTGTATGGGATTAAGTTTTCAAATAGTTGCCCCCTAAATATGACTACTTGCACCTCTATTTTTTTTTTCTTGGGTGCACTACCTTTTTCAACATCAGTTGTATCATTTATTTCAATCTTACCATTCCTTATCACATTTTGTATTATTTCCTCAAAAATCACTAGGTCGACAAAATTTTTAGTAGCATTCCCTATTAATTTATCATAACATAGGGTCTTGAGTGTGCTAATGAAGAATACTATTGTTTTTTTTTAGTTAATGTAGTTAATGGAGGTTGAACTTAGGCTATCAAATTCTTTCAACTATGGGCATACTTTTTATAAGTCTCATTAGGCTTCTTCTCCATATTTTGGAAGTATAATTTATCCAGTGCCATATCTACTACATGCTTGTATTACGTAATAAATGCTCTAGCTAGATCTTTCAAGAGTGGATTTTGCTTTAATTCAACTGTAAATACCATATTGTTGTAAATCTGGTTAAACTATCTTAAAAGTAATGGATTAGCAGCTTTTCATTTTAGGTATGTCCTATCAACTTCTGAAAGAATATTGCGATACGAACAAATAGGCACTTTGTTCCATTATACTTTTCAAAGTCCATGACTTTGAATTTAGTTAGAAAGACTAAGTTTGGCACCAGGCTAAGATCATTAGTATTGATTCTTCCAAAGATGTGACTTCTTTTCATTAACTTTAGCCTTTCTCTAGTTTATCATATTTATTTTGTATCTCAATGTTCTCTACCAGGTCAGATACATTTCACAATGTCTCTTATTTCTATAAGTTATCAAGGTTAGGAACCATTATGGGATCAACAGGACTAATTCTTGGATTAATGTGAACTTGAACCTATGGTTGGCTTGCAGAAAGACTAATATAATTACAATGTTGTATCCAAGTTGACTACGATGGTGTCCTGAGAAGTTTGGCTATATAGCTTTGCATACTCTAGCAAGCATAATATTTTATCTCTAGTAATGTTTGCATTGTTTCTTAGCTCAGAGGTGTAAGCAACTCCTTTGTCTTTTGATAAACCCATTAACATATGTCTTAATTTTGCCATTTGTTGATCAATTCCTTCTTAATTTCAATCACCATTTCCCTTTTCTCCTATGAGTTTTTCAATCTTTTTTATTTTGGCCCTATGCTATTCTATATTGTGAACAAAACTACTCTTAGCAATTTAGTAAAAAATCAGAAACTATTAAATCTTTATTTATTGAATGATGTGAAATCACATCTACCTTACATGATGTTAATTATGTATGAAATGATAATGAAGGCATTAATGATGCAAAAATGCTATTGAAATGCATAAATGCTTGAAGCAAAATGCTTAAATATTTATATATGATGCCTAATTGACAACAATCATGCTTTTTATAGGTGATGAAATATGTTCATACGAAATACAAATTTTATTAAAATCATATCATTTATGAATTTATATGCCTAAAACATGATTACAATACTACATACGTAACGAAATGTATGTATATAAATGATGAAACATGCTTACGAAATACCCTACCATGCATGATAAGATATGCTTACATAAAATGCAATGCCTGTGCTATGCAAATTTAATGAAGTTGACACTACCATTTAGATTTGCAAGAAATGTAGTAAATGCACAATCTTATTATTTTCAAATACAAAACATGATGAAGTGAGCATAAAAGTAATCAAATGAAACGCAAGGGATAGAAACAACATTCAAAATCAAAATTTTCTTTTCTTTTCTCCTTTTCCTATAAAGAAATAAAAATTCAAGAAAACATTTCTTGTGAAAAATAAACACATAAAATGACCAAAATTCAAAGATTTTTTTTCACACTTTGTACTTCTGCTTTTTATAAAAAAAAAATTTAAGAAAAACCTTACCATTTTAAATTTTTTTTATTTTTTTATTTTTTTGATTGGAAAATCTTTTTTAAAAAAATCGATTTTTTAAAAAACATTTTTCCCTAACAATGCAATTCTTGGACAAACACTAGATAAATTGAACAATGTCCAAAGAAAATTTTATTTGAAGAATTTTTTATAATATTTTTTCATTTTTTTCAAAATTTTAGTTTTTTTACATCATTATTACCCCTAAATATATGTTGTATCAGAGTGTTCCTCACGTGTCCTAATTCGAGTAATTTCTACAAAAAGGATCAACATAGCTTTACCTGAGGTTGGTCCCCTAAGGTTCACGATATGCTTGGTTTGAATTTTTCACATCTAAAGGTTTTCAAATTGTTCATCACATCATCGTCTATTATAAACTAGTAAGACATCTTGATCTTAACCCATTACAAGCTACAAACAGAAAAGGTTCAATCTGAGTAAGAGTGTTTCACTAGCCATTATTGAAGTATTCACCTTATCTCATGCATGCAATGCAAATATAAATGTGTGTAAAGGAATATACAAACCTTTGACATTTTTTACTAAAATACCTTTATCTAAATGCCCCATAATTTATTAAAAACAAGATAAATAACAGAAACTTAAAATAAATGACATGATTAAAAATGTAAATGAAATTTAAAACATTTTTTTATTTTTTCAAATTTTATGTTTTGTTTAATTTTTTTTTTTTTGAAAATAAGAAAATTGAAATCAATTAATTAAAATTAAATAATAATAGGATCATTAACTCAAAACATAGGAAACATGCAATTAATTTTTGACCTGACTCTCTAAAAAAGTCTCCAATGGAGTCGTCAAGCTTTTATAATATATTGGTTCAAAAACCTACCTGCAGGAAATGAAAAAAATTTTAAATTCTCAAAACCAAAAAAGTCACCATCAATCTATTTTTTAAGGTGTGATTTACCATCTAAAAAGTTTATCTTTTTACTAAAACAATTATTGTTTTATTAAAAAGATATTTTGGTCTATGAAAACAATGATAGGTTTAGGAGTTGATTACGTGTAGAGAAAGATTACCACCTCTATGGCGCCCATTAAAATCAATACCTATTGTATGTTATCATTGAATTTTAATAAAAATGGTCATAACTTTAATGTTTGAAAATTAATTCCTTGAACTTCATTTATTCCCTCCAAAATCATTTTTCTTAAAATCAAATCATTTTGAATTTTGAACTTTGAAAACAAACTATTTTATTTTTGAATTTTTGAAAACAAATCCAATTTTTTTAGATCAAGATGAAAAATCTCTAGTATTGAAACATTCTCTTCATTCCCCTATATTTAAGCAAAATTTCAAAAATATCCCCTTACTTTGAAAATTTTTATAATGTCCCATAAAACTAAGATAATATTTCTCGTAAATGATAATTGTTGAGAATTCCCCTTAGGCCAAATCTCAATAATTTTTTTATTGGAAATATTACCTTATTTTATTTTTTTCAAAATATATATTTTTTAAATTTATTCAAAAAACACGTAAATGTTATACATGAATGTAGCAAGACATAATATATACATGATAATTAAAATGCAAATGAGAAATATAAATGCATGAATGCAATGACAATTTAAGAATGCTAATGTATGTAACAATTTATCAAAATGAAATGAAAATGTATAAGAATAGGTTTAGGATTAGCCTTTAAGGTTTCAGTTAGGTTTTTTATTTAAGGTTTAGTTTAGGGTTTAGAGTTTGGTTTAGGATTTGGTATATGGTTTAGAGTTTCATTTAGGGTTTAAAGTTAGGTTTAGGTTTTAGGACTTGGTTTAGGATTTAGGATTTAAGGTTTTGTTTAGGGTTTAGGATTTAGGGTTTAGGGTTTAGGGTTTGGTTTTAGTATTTAAAGTTAAGGTTTGGTTTAGAGTTTAGGAATTTATGGTCTAAGGTTTGGTTTAGGGTTCAGGGTTTGATTTAGGGTTTAGGTTTTGATTTAGGGTTTAGGGTTAGGTTTGGGTTTATGGTTTTATTTTGGGTTTAGGGTTTTAGTTTTTAGTATTTAGAATTTAGGATTTTAGGGTTTGGGCTTTTAGGGTTTTTGGAATCTAATGTCTTGGTTTGATTATACTAAAATGATCCAAATTTGATCATATTTCGACTAAAATCGAATAATTTCAAATAAGTTTGACTAAATTAACTTTAGGTTAACTTTTGACTTTTTTCTTTAATTTTTTGTTGTTTTCCTTGCATCTCCCTAAAACTTTACTTATTCAAAAATCTTAAAATATTTGAAAGACTCTAAAAATTTTGCCCAAGACTTAATTCTTAACTTTTAGAGCATCGCGATTGACTAGAACTTACCTAAACAAAATTAGATATTTATATTTGTATTTGTTTATTTTGTGTCAAACACATATAAAACACAAAATTATCATGTCATAATTTGTGTTGACATGTTAAATGTGAAATACACTTTTTGATTTTTGCCAAACCTATATATGATTTTTGTTAAATTCTAAATCGTTTTACTTTTATTTGTCATTCAAACAAAATATTGATTTATATTAAAAGTTTATTTATATATAAATTAAAAGTTAAGAGCTTATTTAAAAATATATTAAAAATTAAAGAATTATTTAGATGTAAATTAAAAATTAAAAAATTATTTAATTACAATAAATTATAAATATTTATCTAAATAAAGTGGCAAAAAGCCTTGCTTATTATTTCAACTAATGAGAGCATAAACAGTGAACTATATTGGCCTTAAAAAAGTAATGGGCTTGGCCTAGAGTTACAAAGGGTAAGCCCAAAGCAAAATCAATAGAATTTCAACTTTCGCACGTCTTCCATTTCTGGTGCTCGCTCGTCCCAGCTACCGGTCAGCTCTTTCTTTACAAATTTTTATTTTTTAATCTCTTTTTTGATTTACTGGTATCATCTGAGAGTTTGGCCATAAAAATATATCATCTGAGGGAGAGAAGGAATGTCGTGCTTGGCGTCTTGCTGTGCTGCGGCCACGTGCGGGCTATGCTCATCGGTGGCGTCTGGGATCTCCAAGAAATCAGCTAGGCTTGCTTATTGTGGTCTCTTTGGCCTTTCCCTTATCGTTTCTTGGATTCTTAGAGAAGTTGCTGCACCTCTTTTGGAGAAATTACCGTGTAATTTCCCCTTTCTTCTTTCCTTGGTATCTGGGTATTTTTAATATTTGCTTCTTTTAGGATTTGTTATGCCCTTAATTGTTGAAAATAAGAATTGTTCATTTAATGCTTTTGGAAATTTGCTAATTGGATACTTCAAATTTTGAGGTTAGATGATTAGGTTATTTACTAAAAGTTTAAATTTTGGATTTGTATTTCAAAAATTGAATACTCAATTAGAAGATGAACTATTCATGAATGCAATATTGTATCTGACCATTGTCTAAAAGCATGGGCCTAACATATGGGCTTGCAAAGGCTGATACTGGAACCTTAACTTGTAAGTTTTGAGCATTTGGATGTAAAAATGAGTATGGATTTTGACTCTTACCCATTTTTAAAGAGTATGCTAAGTATGATTTGAATTGTGAAATAAATGAAGGGTCGATGTGCTTATTAAAGTACAGGAACTGTGATTTTGGAAGAATATCTGAATTTTCAATAAAAAACATTGTGACATGCGTTATTATCAACCTAAGCAAATGTAAACATAACTATTTTTTCCAAAGTGTTAAGGATATGAGTTCGTGATGGGAAAATTCAATTGGGGCATCATTTACTTGTTTTCTGTACATTGGCTAAGCATTCCTTAATAAAGTTGTTGAACTCTCTTTGTTAGTATCATTTTTATGATGATGTCATACAAATAATAACAGATCATTTGGATCACACTGCTTGTTCTAACTTAACTACTGGACAAAATCCAATTATGCTTTTATGTCATCTAACTATTGGACTTCAGTATATTGAATATCCTGATCTTGTATTTTTTATATGATTTTTTCAGCAATAATTGATTGTGCAGAGCAGAGAAACTGTGATTATTGCCACTATAATTTAAAGTTACACTATCAATTGGCTCTTATATTTTGCGTTCTATTGGCTGCTTGATGTTCGCTAAACTATTATTTTGTATCAATAATTACCCTAATAATCAATGTTTCTTGCTCCAAAAGATCATAACAAAACAATGCACATGTTTCTGTTAATTCATGAATATTTTAATACATTTGATTACTTTTCTAGTGTTTCTGTGGTATGGGTAATATTTAGTCACAAGTATTCTCATATTGTGTCCTTTGCAGGGATAAACACTTCTACTCATACAAAGGCATGGTTTCAACAACAGGCAGTACTTCGTGTAAGCTTGGGAAATTTCCTGTTTTTTGCTGTACTAGCTCTAATAATGATTGGTGTGAAGGACCAAAATGACAGACGTGATTCATGGCATCATGGTGGTTGGATTGCGAAGATGGTGATCTGGTTGTTGCTTGTGATCCTTATGTTCTTCCTTCCCAATGTTGTAATCACAGTCTATGGTTAGTTTTGCTCCCTTAAATGGATGCTCAATTATTAGAATCTTCTCTAATCGGGAGGACTGTAAGTAAAAATGGGTATGGAGACAGATTTTTTTCAAATGGTCTTTGTTGTTCCCCCTTTCCATAAATGAAACAGGATTTCTGCCAAGCAAGGATTGCTGGCCCTGCCCAGACCCAACAATGTTGAAGCCTCATGTACCGAATTCCTTTGGACTTTTCTAATACATGCAACAAACTTGTGTCACAGAAAAAGAACTCTATTTTTTCTTTATGCAACTACATGAGACAATATTTAGGTTTTCATGCCAACCATTTCCCAGGTCTGCATGGGTTATCAATTATAGGTCAAATCTGATTAGGAAACCATGATAAGAGCAAGACCATTCTTTTCAATGTTAAATGGATTGTCGGTGTGATAAATATTACTTATGTCTATGAGGTAAATGTTCATAATATATGTGTTTCTTAAAGGCATAATTAATTACCAAAAATTTAATTCAAAAGGATTTATTCAGAGCAAAAGTTATTCTCTGGCCTTAAATTCCCAGATTCAGAGAGGAGGGGAGAAGGCATGCATAGCTTCTTCATTTTATTGAGTTACAATGTTTGCGTCTCTTGGGCCTATGCTGAATTCAACTTCTTGAATTCCATTCTCATGCTTTTATGTGTGTTTAAATATTTTCATCAGATGTGATACTAGAATTCGCGATTAACCTTGCAAATTTTCTTTATTTCAGGAACTTTATCGAAATTTGGTGCAGGGTTGTTTTTATTGGTTCAAGTGATTATATTACTGGATTTTACACACTCATGGAATGATGCCTGGGTTGAAAAAGATGAACAAAAATGGTTGGCTCAAATTACTGTGATTCATTATTGTTCTCCAGTGTCTTTTATTGATTTCTAACCTTTAAGTTCTGCTCCTTCAGGTATATTGCTTTACTTGCTGTATCAGTTGGTTGCTATCTTGCGGCATTTGTATTCTCTGGAATTTTGTTTTTATGGTTCAACCCTTCTGGTCATGACTGCGGCCTTAACATCTTCTTTATTGTCATGACAATGGTTCTGGCATTTTCTTTTGGAATTATAGCTTTGCATCCTGCGGTAAAGATAATCTTGTTTTCCTATTTATTTCTTTTCCATAATCAGGCTGACCTGCTGTGAACAATTTGAGTTGCATAATCCCAATATATACTTTTGGTTAAAATAAAAAAAAGCCCTTGTATTTTTCCAAATTTCCAAGATAAACCCCTCCTTCTATGTGTTTTCAAATTTTCTAAGAGTTAGATTACCACTGAATGGCAGAAGACCAGAATATATCTGGTTAGCTCCTTAGGCCATCTGCTAGTTTACCCAGTGCTTTTTTTTTTTTTTTGAAATATAGTTTACCCAGTGCTTAAAATTTTATATCTTTTATAAATTTAGTTTCTAGGAGCTCAAATCTTCTTGGTGAAACTTCCAAGTTCTGGTTTCTCAAGGCCTTTGCTTTATTATGCATTCATAGGGAGAATGCATGCCATAAATAGGAAAGCATGCAACATATACCTTCTGATGGTTAAAGTGCATCTGTGTATAAGACATGATACAGAGTGTTAAGTCTTGATGACCTTGGGATTTGGCAGGCTTGTAACCTTCAGGTGGTAATGAATTACTGAATATATTTTAGATTTATTTTGTAACTAACGTCGTAATTGAAATTGAAAATTTTGCACAGGTGAATGGCAGCCTCTTGCCTGCTTCTGTGATATCAGTTTACTGTGCTTATGTGTGCTACACGGGTCTCTCCAGTGAACCTCGAGATTACGTATGCAATGGTCTCCATAATAAATCCTCTGCTGTTTCAACTAGTACTCTTATTCTTGGGATGCTCACAACAGTTCTCTCAGTACTTTATTCAGCTCTCCGGGCTGGATCCTCTACAACATTTTTATCACCGCCATCTTCCCCAAAATCAGGTACTCAGATGATGCAATATGTCTTATCATTTTATTAACTAAGAAACACATAAATTGAAGATATTTATACAAGTTGTCCACATATCTCTTGAAGTTTTCCTGCTGACATTTTCAGATGCCTAAGCTAGTGCACTATATCTTTGTTACATGATTCACGTTTAGTGACTGTTAATGTTTTGTTTGCTATTCCCTTGGAAGAAATATTAAGATACTTAGAAGTAGATGGGAGAATAAGGCTACACCACTATTTAGTCTGGAAAAGGATCTTTTCGTCACCCATTATGCAGGGCATGCCAAGTTCTTACTGGTATATCATTTAGTTTTGTTGCAGTTGATCATGTGTTGAGGCAAGAAAATAAAATAGCAGCTGAACTCGCTAATCTGGGACAGTCCATGGACCATTTTTGGTCAAGTTTGTCTTTGTCCAAGCTGTTTAGCTAGGATTTTCATGTGGTATTTCATTCAATTTCATTTAAACAGAGTGACTGCTAATTTCTTCAGGTTATTATACTTTTTTCATTTGTTAATACACATTTTCAAAATGAATTAGTAAATAACAAGGTCCCAGCTGCCTCTTGATGATACTTTCTAAACTGGGCTCTAAGTTTGACTGTCATTTGATAAGCTTCTGCATTTCAGAATTACTGTTCTTTCTTGTTGGGAGAATAGCTTTCATTCATTTGGAAAGGTAGAGTCTGTCCCTTTAATTAGGGGAGCTGATTTTAGTTTTGCCAAGCAAGTAATGGAAACACTCTGGTGCAGGGAGTAAGAAGCCACTTTTAGAAGGGGAAGATGTGGAAGAAGGGAAGGGAAAGAAGGAGACAGAAGCTCAACCAGTTACTTACTCCTATTCGTTCTTCCACCTGATCTTTGCCTTGGCAAGCATGTACTCTGCTATGCTTCTTTCAGGATGGACCAGCTCATCTGAGAGCTCAGATCTTGTAGACGTTGGCTGGACATCTGTCTGGGTTCGAATCTGCACCGAATGGGTCACTGCTGCATTCTATGTTTGGACCCTTGTGGCACCTTTGATTCTCCCTGGCCGCGAGTTCTTCTAGGTTTATCTCAGTATCATGTCTAGCCATCCAAGAAGCTATGAGTATCTAAATAGTTGAGTAATAGTTTATAAAGCTGGCCATATCTTTAGAAACATCAATGTTCTGCTTCCTTTCCTTCAACTTGATAGTTTTAGAAAGTGAGGCCAGGTTTGTTGGTTTATTGTATCCTACATACAAAATGGGCATGATGAATGTATAGACTCAAAATTGATATAGAATTGATTTCTATCTATGGGGCTTTTATATTTGTAGCTCTTACCTATTTTTTTTTCCCTGTTCTTTTTCTATAAAAATTTGCTCTTGTTGGTTGGAGGATCAAGGAAGAATATCTTGAGCCAGATGAAAAAGAAAAGAATAAATTTATTGTATATTAAACCCGACTCTGATTGGACACCAGTTTGCTAATAGAGTTTCTCTGTTTGCGTTAATTTTTAGGTTGGGTTAATCCTACAAAGTCTTTGAATTATAATAAAGCGGCTAATGTGATAATTGAAGTTTAAAATTTTTTAATGTAATATTCAAATTATGAATATATTAATCAATATAATATTTATTTTTTATGTGATTAATTTTAAATAATAACACATGATGAATAAATAGTTATTTAAATATTATATTAATTAATAAATTTATAATTTAAATATTATATTAAAAAGAGCATTTGATTCGAGAGAATTAAAAAATTTTCTTTTAAATTTTGATTGTGAATATTTAATTTTCACGTTTTGTTTAAAATTATTTGATTCTTGAGAAAAATATTAATTTTCAACAATATTCAAAGTTTTAAAATCAAAAATTCATATTTTCCTTTAATATTTTAAGATTTCGAATAAAAAGTTACTTGAGTTTTATATTTAACCTGAAATTTTTTTTTTTATCCATATTGTCCTTTTAAAAAAATAAATTTAGAACTCAAAATTAAATTAATATTGCAAATACATAACACATAATCCAAACAAACGCATTTAACATGAAAAAAAGAGAAACAAAAACAAAAAACCACTTATCAAGTTAGACAATAGTGACGATGGTTAGGCTTGGCGGTGATCAGGGAGACCCAGCAGTGAGTACGTGAGACGATGTGATTAGGGGTTTTGTGATTCAGACACTTCGTTTGCTGATTAAAAATTAAGGTGTACAACAAACAGAATAGAAAGTAAAAGGTTTATGATTACAAAAAAAAAAAAAAAACTCAAATACGATGTTTTTTTAATTAAACGTTGTTATTGAATATTTTAAATTTTTAAACGAAAATAATTACGAAGTTTTTTTTAATTAAATATCGTAATTAAGTATAGTTATTTTTTAAAATTTCACATTAATTATTGTATTTTTTATATAAATGCAGTAATTGATACAATTTTAATTTTATAAAAATATATAAAATCTTTCATTCATTTGATAAAAAGATATAATTTGTCATATTTATTTTTTTTAAAATAAAATAAAAAGGTTTTTTCATAATTATCAAGGATATTATGATAAAAATACATGATTTAATAAATATAAATTTTTCCAAAAAAAAGTAAAAATTTAAAAACAGGATGTCTTAAAAATCAAAATTTTTTCAGATACCATACTTTTTTGAATATCACATTTTCTATTCAAATATAAAATTTCACAAATTAAATGATCTCTTAAAATTTTTAAAATTTAAATATCACATTAATATTTAATTATAATTCAAGATTTATCCATGATACTATCCCTCTTTAAGTTCGCTGGTTCAAAAACAAATTTCTGTGTCTTGTCTGCTAACTGCTAGGTGGCCCTAGCCACTTATATTTTGTTGATAAGCGGAGAAATTGAAGTCAGCTATTTAATATATTGCAGTTAGACGTATCCTCCGGCATTGTCTGGTCTTAATCTCATTTCCGAATGGCCAATCTCCCTTATCAATACAATGCATTCATAATTTTATTTTTAGAATTATTCCCCAAAAAGATCAAATTTTGGTTGATAATGAAAGAAACTCGTTCTTCTTCTTATCAGCCCGACTAGCATTTGTGGATGCTTAGTTTAACATTTTTTCAGTAAAAAAAATACGTTTGGGATAAAAAAATAATATGTTACCTCTATATTTCTAATATTTATTATTTTATATCTAATTTTTTAAACATTTCAATTATTCACAATAATTTTTCATAATAATACTAAACAATAAAATTTTTAATTATATATTTTTTATATCTTTTAAATGAATTTTTTAATCTAAAATTTTTTTTCAATCGCAATGATAATACTAAAATAACCGGAGGTCATTGTCATTTATTTGCTGCTGAACTGAAATAATAAAAAGAGTAGCAAAATATGTGATCGAAGTTAACATGGAAATGACTACTTATTTATTTTGTTGTGAATGTTCAATTTGCAATTGATGACAGAATTGCCTACATTTTTGACTGCAACCAAAAGATCATGCATGTCCCATTTCTGTGTTAAATATATATAACTATTAAAATCAATATATAAAAATTAAAATATATAAAGTTAATGATTTGATCAATTATAGTATAATTATAATTTTTTATACATATATAATCTTAAACGAGAATTAATCTTTTTTTCATTTCATAAATCTTATTTTATCTATAATAAAATTAATTTTTTATTTCATAAATTTCATCCTGTTCAATAAAAAATTTTGAACATAAATTAAATTTCAAATTCTAATTATTAGTGTGAGCGTATCTTTTAAAACAAATATATATCAACTATCATTGTGAGTATACAAGTTTTAGATTTGAAAATTCATAAAAATACAAAGAAAATATTTTCTCGAGTTGTTTAATTGGCATGTACTCAAATCAATGTGAAAGGTAATTTAACATCTAGTTTATAGAATATAATTGTGAAAAATGGATGAAGGCTAATTTTAACTTAGTTCAAAGTGATGATAGGTTTTTTTTTTTTTCTCTTATGCCACTTGCAAAATATTAGAAGAAAGAAAAAAAATTTTCATGAATTATTTTCATCTTATGTTAAAAAAAAAGAAAAATGGAAAAAGGAAAGAAGCTCCATGACCTATAGTGAAGCAAGGCATATTATTAATTTTCACATTTTTAGTGCCTAAGTAACCTGATATTAAATTGATTGATTTTTAAATTAATTGATATGTTATTAGAATTAATATTTAGAAATTATTGATTTAAAAGAGTTTGTAGCATAATACCTTCTTTAACCAATAATAAATATTAAAAGATAAAATTTAAGGATAAATTAAAAATTAAAAAATATAACCTGACTTTAAGAAATAGAAAATGTTTATGTGTTAATTTTGCGAAAAGATTAATGAAAACACTATTTTCAAATTTGGAAAAATATTGTCATCATCAAGACCTAGTACCCTTAAGAGTTCTATTATAACGAAATCATTCCATCAATCAGTTTCATTATCTGTACACCAACATGATACATGTACAACCAACCTTACCTTTACCCCGTATATATATATATATATATCAATAATACTAATTTTGTAAAAAATGGAAGAAGGTGGGACTGGCTTTCCTCCATTTTTTTTTTATTTATTTTATTAAATTTATATTTTATTTTTTAAAACTTATTTATTTATTAATAAATTTTGTAGAAAGAAAAAGGTAATGAAAATAAGGATGATGAAACAATCGGTATTCGATTGTTTTGATTCATATTGATAGAATATAAATATATATTTTAAAAAAATCGAGATCAGATTAAACATTTTAAAAGTATTTTTTTTTATCTCAAGTGTTCACATGACATTTTTTTTCTTTTTTTTTTTTGTTTTTCTAAAACTTTTGTTTTTTTTTCTCTTTTTTTTTTATGTTTACTTTTTATTCGATAAATTTTGTAATAAAAAAATTAATCAAGATAGAGATAACAAAATAGCTCACGTTCGATAAGTTTCAATTTATTTCAATTCAATTGATGCATTTATATAAAAAAAAAAAAAACTAAAATTAAATTTTATCTTTTTGAATAATTTATTCAAAATCAAAATGAAAATCGAATTTGAGGTGCTTTGTCATATTCTTTTTACGATATATAAAATATATATTATTATTTATTTTAATTCATATTTATATACATATTATATTAATAAAATTATTATTTAATACTTATTTAATAAAAAATCATATTTATATATAATTAAGTTATAATTTATATTAAAAAATAAATATACTTGTATTTATCTATATATTGTTTTCCATTAAAATTGAATATAAAAATTTTATTTCTTTCATATTTAAAACATAATTAAAAAAAAATTGTCACTCTCACAAAACAAATGTTTAATTCTAGTATATATAAAAGGAAAAACAAAAGAGAAAATATATTTTTTTAAAAAATAAAACCAAAAAATTCTAAGTTAAAAAACAAGCACAATTTTTGTTCCGAATAGTAGTCTTCCTGCTGTAATTCAACTATTAAAGTTAAAAATAAAAAATAAAAAATAAAATTTCAAGATTAAACTGATTGATATTTTGATTCTTAGGAAGATTATCTTCTCTTATCGTATTAAATTGATGGGTTGTTATATTCTATACAAAATCCTATTAGTATTTTATAAAAGAAAAAAAAAATTCATTTTCAAAATCCTATCAAGTTAGATTTAAGAAGCATCCATTGAATTTTTTTTTTAATTCTTCATTAAAGAAAGTAAAAATAAAAATAATAGTAATAATTTATATATTTATATTACATTTATTTTATATTAAATATATGTAAAATATAAAATTTTCATAAACACTTGAGGTTGACTATTTGTGTTACATTTAAAATTACTAAATCAGTCAAAGAAATAAAAACCCAATTACCAATTCCAATAGGTTACTTCCCCAGAAGGAAAAAAAAAAAAAAAAAGTAATAATAATAATAACAAAAAACCACGAACTTACACCTTTAACGACCAAAATCAACCTGCTAAAGCAAAGAATATATTTTCCTTTATCTCTTTAAATAAAAAAAAAAAAAAAAAAGAGAAAAAAGTGTACATAATTAAAAACAAAAAAAAAAAAAAAAAAAACGAAAATCTATACATACTAGCAACAGATACAGACCTCCTGTCACCTGTAAAATTCCACAAATCCCACATTCTTAAGTTCTAACATGCTCCATTCCCTCATCATGCCCCCTTCTTCAAAACCCACTTCCACCGCCTCTTCCACCGCTGCCGCCTCCACCAAACTTTCCGGCCACCACCATAACAGCCACTCCCACTCCCACTCCCCTCTCCTCCTTTGCAAACACTCTCCATCAGCCACCCTAGACCTCTTGATCCTAATCCTAGTCCTCTTCTCAGGCACTTTCCTTGTATCCTCTTACTTCTCCTATCTCTTCCATTCCCTTTCCCTTCTCCTTTCCCCTATCCTCTCCACCCACGGCCCTTCCTTTTCTCTCCCTTTCGCTTCCTACCTTTTGGGTTGCACTCTTTTCTTTGTCGCAACCCTTATTTCCATCGAGTTCTTTTGCGGTTCGCGGTCCCGGAAATGCGAAAAGCCTGGCTGTAAAGGGCTGAAAAGGGCTTTAGAGTTTGATTTGCAGTTACAAACCGAGGATTGTGTGAAAAATGGATCAAAGGAGATTGATTGTTTGCCTTGGAAAGGTGGGAGCGAAGGGAACCCTGACTATGAGTGTTTGAGGGCTGAGTTAAGGAAGATGGCGCCGCCTAATGGACGAGCTGTTTTGCTTTTTCGAGCTCGCTGTGGTTGCCCTATCGCCAAGCTTGAAGGTTGGGGTCCGAAGAGAGGGAGACGCCATAAAAAGTGAGTCCTTTTGATGGGTTTTAGGAGATTTGGATTTTTCTTTGGTGATTTATTGATTGAATATATGTTGGGGTTGTGGGTGGGATTTAGATTGAGGGATTCTAATTGAAAGTCGTGGGTTTTTTCTTTTTATCATTCTTCTCTTTGCAATTTTATTTCCTTTTTCTTGGATTTTAATTGCTTAAATCTGGGCAGAATTTAGTGTAGATATTGACGTTTATCACTAAACAAGGCATGTTTTTCTAGGATTGATCAATTTGTTTGCATATAGTCAAGCTTATGAATTCTTTTTAAACATTGATGCCATTTTATGTTTTACATAAGGATTTAGCAAAGTTGATTTTTTTATGAATGAGATGAACGGGTACAACAAGGACCCCAACTCCTTAAAATAAACTAAGCAATCACAAGACAACACCACTGAAACAGTAAAAGACAACACCAGAGAAGAGCAGGAAACCATCACCATACTCTAGAAAATTACAACCAAGCCGGAAACATTTAAGTTCTATCAATTCCTACTTTAGCTAGATAATCAACATACCCATCTGCTTCCGTATATATTTTCTAAAATCTAATGGCACAAGAACCTGCTAATCAATCAATTTGAGACAAACTACTCCAAAGTTACAAACATCTAGACTCCTTAATTATACACCATTTTAAATGCTGCAGAGGAGTCGGATTCAATTATTAAGTTGCCACTAAACATACTTCCGAGAACCCACAATGATCTCCAGAGCCACTTTAATGGCACTAACTCATCCTATTGGAATCCTAAATTCCAAAGGGACCCGAAAACAGTGCAACCATGTAGATATTGGAGCTTGTCAAACCTCCTCAGCCTGCTGAACCTGGCTTACCCATCAACATTAAATTTTAAGGCACCAGATTCAGGAGAAGAACAAAAGAGACAGGTCAACATTAGTTCCTTAACAAAGAAGGTTGCATTCTAAATTTCTGTCACCATTCCATTTCTCTGGTTTTAAGAGCTCTCCATGCTCCCATGATGATATATTATACAATCGACAGTAGGATAGGGCACTGGTCCAACGCTGAGCATTTTAAGCCTCTCAGACATAGATCCTTAAACACCTTGATCCATTCAGTTGAAACTAGACACCTATCCAATCTACTTTTATTATTCTCACTACCCAACCACATAAATTTCTTCCCAGACAAAGGGAAATCTGGAAATTCCCTTCTGTTGATAAAATCATTGAATTGCATGATACCTAACCTGCCTTATACCCACCTCTACCCATCTGAATCTGATTTCACTGTGTTGAAATCCCCTGCAACACATCAATTACTACTCAAATTGCTTTTAAGTTCTAGAATTTCATCCCATACAGCCTTCTTAGCCTCTGCCTACTTGGGGCATACACATTACAAACCACACTTTCAAAATCTCATATGATACATCTTCCTTTAACCACTAAGTATCGACTGTTAACTACATTCTATGCTACATTAAAGCAATTTTATACTACCATCAACAGCCCACTAGAAAGACCTAAAGCACTTGAATAAATCCAATCAAATTCCCAACTTCTAGCTTAAATTGCAGCCTCCAACTCCTTCACTCTCTCCACTACCACCAACTCATCTTTTTCAGCAGCATTTATAATTAATAACTTTGATGAGGTTTATGAAGAATGAGTTTATCGTTTTTAAGCTCGCTTACGAGGACTCGGGAGTTTAAGGCAGCATACCCATGTCAACAAGACACAGATATGGGTATGGAATACAAGTCCAATTTGGTGTTGGGCATAAGGACTCGGCTACTTCGCATGAGCCAATTTAAAGATGAAAGGAAAAAAAAAAGGTAAAGATCAGATATGATGCCGGAAGCAGGTTTAAATCTGCTATTTAAATTTTTTTCATCAAACCAAACAAAACCCTATTCCAAAACAGAGGGAACTCATCCAAGTCCAAACAATTCAGTCAAAATCCAATGACTTTAAGCGTCAGTCAAAATAAAAGATGAAATTAGTTTAAGGTAAGAAACAAATACCCTTTTTTCTTCAAAATTTTCAAAATGTGAGTTGTGGATGGTTTGGAGATAGATTTCTCACATAGCTTCCATGCCTGTCGCTTCAGGTCTTGACTCTTGAAAGAGAGAAATAGATGAGACTTAAGAGTTGAAAATCCCTTCAGGAGAGACTGTGAGGATCTGGGCAAGGCATGAGGGTGATTGGATGCTGGTCACAGATGAATGGCTCTGTTGTGGGGTGGAGAAGTAAAGTGGACAGAGAGGGAAACAGAGAAGAATAGTGGTCACGTTGGTTTTTTGTTTTTTTTTTGGGTGAAACTTTGGAATGGAAAGGGAAAGGATGGGTAGGAAATGGGTATTTGAGAAAATTTTTTGATGATTTATATGAAAATTTAAGAGGGATGTTAGTTCTTAATTAGTGAATTTAATTTTTCATCATTTAAAAATAATTAATTTTATTATATAATTTTGATATTATTAATATTATTGTTAATTGAATTCTTTTCTTTTTTTTTTTTTTGTGAGTTTGATTATGGTTAGGTTGCTAACTATTATTACATTATTTTTGTTACTTTGTTATTTAAAATGTTGCACTTGGGTTTTTGATGGAATGATAAAGTGTATCTATGCTCGAACCATTAGGTTTTGGAAAAAAAATTTAAAAATGTTCATCATTATTCCTTCTTATTAAATTAATTTATGATCTTAACTTCATAGTTATATTTTGTCAATCATATGTATTTAGTATTCATGTCCATAAAATTCATGGATTTATTAATGAATAGCATTACATATTATTATAAAACGTATTCACATGCATGTATCTTATTCAAACTCTTTTTAGCTGACTCCACAAGTCCAAAATTTTGGATGAAGGGAGAGTCAGAACCTTAGATGCATACACGTGTCAAACACCTGTACCTGAGTCCATTAAACAGTTTTTCAGTGAGGAACTTTAGAAAAAAAAAATATTAGAGTTATTTATGGAGTCTGGAAAACCAAACACTTGCCTAATTTGCATTTAGGCAAGGAATCTGCAGTGTGGAATCACTAGCTCATCGAGGTATTTGATTTTATTTTTTTTTGTGAGGATAATTATTAACCTCTTGCATTTGTGATGTTTCAGTATTATGTTATGAGGTCTGCTTATGCTTGAAGTTTAGCTTCTTTACTTTGCAACATTTACAAGCAGGTCATCCCACTGCATTGAACATTGAGATAATTGGTAAACTTGTTGTTAATGCATCCCGGTATATTTTGCTGTTTTTCTTTTGTGTTGGTACCTTAATGGGTTTCAGAAAGCCATAAGTATTACTTCCTATTTTTCACAACTATATTATCATATGAATGTTATATGTGTATGCATGTGTGTTGTAAGTGATAGGTGATTTTCAACTTTATTCATAGAAACCTTTGGCGATTGCACTGGAGATATATGTGCTGGATATCTTGTATGGTGCTTTGCTATATGGGTAGGATATTGATTAGGAAAAATTGAAAAGTTTTAACATCTAAACTGGTTAAGCAAGTGAAACTTGATAATTTCAGGTTTATTGGTACAACATTTTTCAGTCTGAAAAATCCAACAGAATGTCTTAAAAAAAAAAAAAAAAAGAAAAATCCAACAGAATGCTGTTTCTGGTAGCTTTAGTTTGTGAGCCAGTAAAATGCTAGAAATTTCAAACATGCCAGTCAAAAGGCTGCATTCATTGTCTTTGCATCAGTTAGGGAGAATTAGCAGGGAGTAAGCATATTGATGATCTGCCCCTTTAAGTAATGGAAACTATAAAATTTAATCTTAGCATCCACATTTGTTATGATCCTCAAGTGGAGCTGTTACCCTCATGTGCCTTTTGCATTTGTTGGCAATGAAATGTCTTCCTTGGAGGCATCCATTTGGCTTGGCATTTTGGAGGATGGATTCTGTATATGATGTGCTACTATTCTTGGTCTTTAGATAGGATGGAAGCTAGTTGGGGAATTAATAAAATATCAATGACCATGTATGATCATGTTGTAGGTGCTTGAGTTTGGCATTATGGAAATATGATCATCTCCCGTCTTTTCAAGGAAAACTGTTGCAGGGACAAGTTCTTACCCAACTTATTACCAGTTATTGTGGATGATCTTGTTTTATATGTTGGTGGTAAACCATTAGTGCATGTCCATTTGTAAAGTTTTCTACCACGTTGTCCGGCTGAATGAATGGTCATAAGAGCTCTCTACATATTAAGTTTTTAACACTAATCACGAACATCACCTTCAACCTGTTTTCGATACTAAGAACAATTAATGTAGCCTAGTCTTTGAAAAGGATAGTCCCAGGCCCTATAGCATTGGAGTGATATTTATTATTTAGACTTTTGAGGGAGGATTGATCAAATTTCAAAGCTAAAAAAGGATTGTGGTTTTAATGTTATTTGTCAACTATGTTTTTGTCAGTAGCTTTTGTTGGATGTCTTTTGATTGTCTCTTATCTGATTTTGAAGCAATTACTGCTATTAGTTCCTTACCGCGCCCACTTTGTAAGTTCAATTACTGCTATTTGAAAAAAGACTGGTTTTTTTTTTTTTGTTTTTTTGTTTTTTTGTTTGGTTTGAGTTGATGTGATGAAGGGGAGTATTGATTTTGCAGGGCTGTAGCCAGTTTGGCACAAAATGGAGATCATCGCTAATTATTGATGATGGTACTGTCAGCGGAGTCCTCGTCCTCCTTATATATATATATATATATATATATATATGTATCCCAACCTTTTACTGCTTTTTTATCTTTTGAACTCTTTTTCTCCTTTCTGAAGACTTTACTTTGGTGAGAAGGAATTTTTTTTATGCTATATATTTAGGGGGTGGCATTTCTTGAACCTTTCTGAAACAACCTTCTTGGATATTGTCTCATTCCTAGAAGCGTATTCAAAGATTTAATTCGAATAAAATAACATTGGATGATAAAATGGATATTTTATTCAAATTAATCAGTAGACTTCAGCAGCGTTGGTACAGGTGTAGCTTAGAATTTGATTTTTGTGGAATGCTTTGTGTTTGGAAGAGTGCATCAGCTAGATTCAAACAATTTCTTTTTTCACTCCGATTATTAATCAAACAAAATTTGGAAACATCCCGACTTTTACGCTGGAGGAAGCCACTGCTAAGTACTTTAAGCATCCTGCAACAATTTCCCAATCATGGATAAATTATCCTCCCTTAGAGTTTAACCGGTTTATAACGCTAAGGGCATAGCAGACGAGAATCCCATGTTTTTCGTATGTTCTATGGATTTTATTGCAGCTAAACATTGTGCTACAGAGTGATTGAACAGGACCCCTGCACCAATCCTACAAATTCTTCCTTCAGTTTTGTAGTGCTCCATCAAAATTTAATTTGACAAGACCTGGCGTTGCTGCTTTCCACCTTAGTTCCTCCCAAACCGTTCTTACTGTCACCCTGACCTGAGCCGCCTTGTATTTTGCCATTTATTTCCCAATGAACGCTATGGTATCCTATGCACTTCTGCCCGCATTATCCTTGACTGCATGATATCTGCTGTGCCATATGTTGGCATATGTCCTAATACCCAACTGGATTTTGTGCAAATATATTGTTATGTCATTTGTGAGATTTAATTATCTATTGAAAAGTCTTGATTTAAATAAGCTTATACAATGTTATTACTAATGCTTAGATGATAAAATCTTTGAAATAAATCATTTTTACAAGAAAATTATAATGAAATTGTAATTATGAGATCATCATTGCATAAAAGTTATATTTTTAATATTTTTAGTTAATCTTTATGAAGAAAAGACGTTGATAAAATCTGCTGAGAGTAGCTCATAGTTATGTTATTACTTATGAAGCAAACAATTGTTTTCGTAAGTTGAAATTTGGATAAATTTGAGTCAACGTGTAGGTGCTTACTGCAAGAACAAGTTCATTGAACATGATCCTATGTGAGAATGCTATTTGGTAATATATGTAGAGCCTAAAGCAATAATCTCATGGAATTGTTTAATAAATGATTTTTTAATTTGAGATTACTAATGATCTTATGTTATGAATGTATACTTTGATTCTACTTTATGGTTCTAACCATGGATACTCCAATTACATATTCTTGGGTATAACAATAGGCATATGAAGATGCATGAGTAATCAATACAAGATTCATCACCTTGAGTGATCAAGTGAATATCTCATTTAGTCTTGAATGAATTAACTTAAGAAATTTTTTATCAAAGTGGAATAAAGTATTAAAATGGCTTTAAAGCTTATTTAGAAGTTATTATCATAGCAAAAACAAAATATGGTTCAACAAAATTGAGCAAACATTGATTTGTGCTCAATGTTAAATCGAGATTTTAAGTGATGAAAGAATATTAATTATATTGAAAAACCAACATGAGTAGGTTTGTCAAACTGCATTGATATTCCTTAGCAATTATGGGTCATGACTCATTATTAGATAATAATCATGATCTATAAATATAAGATTGATTAATTAGAAAATTAATGATCAATTCAAAATGGTTTTGATTCATCTAATTTGAAATACAATCAAGACTTCCAATGCTTATATTTATTGCCAATATGTTAAAAAACCTAATGGGTCACTTTAATAGAATGTGATAAATGATTAAAATTGTGATAGATTAAGTTGGACTTAATTTGTTGGATCAAAGGCCAAAATAGAGAAATAAAAAAAAGCTCAATACCTATTAAAATATGGTATAGCCGTCACATTGTGAATCTTATTAAGAATAGGATTTGAGAAGGGACATTCTTTTGGAATAGAATTAGGCACATGCAACCTATTAGCATAATGCCAAATGCCCCATCTCTATTTAAAAGGAATTTATTCACCCCTTTATATGTGCACAAGTGATTAGATGCAATTAGCATTAAAATAGTCTTACTATTATCTCATGTGTTGAGAATAAATTAAGAGCAAACACTAAAGATGGCAATCAATATCTTACTAGCATAGGATTTGGCTTGTCTTTTTTCCATCGTTGTCGTGAAAGTTCTTTCCTCATTGTTTGTGTGGATTATTATTAGAGACTATACCTTTGGATATCAGTTGGTTGGTTGCAACCAAGCTCGAGGTTCTTGAAGTGTTCTTGACACCATCACAAACCAAAGTAAGTGAAATACTACTTTTGCTAATAATTCATGTATGCTTGTGTTACTTTTTGTCAACGTGGTTCATGGTTTAGGGGATTAAAAATTTTTAATTCCATTGCAATATACTCTGCACTTGTATGTTCCATTTCAACAATGGAGCCTTAATGATTACGATTATACAAACTAAAACTTGTTTGGTTGTTCTTGATATCAAAATTTATTTTATTTACAATTTATCTATTGTCATAAAAAGGTTGAAAAATAAGTTTTTTGATTTTGTTTTGATTTTATTCTTTTATAATATTAAACTATAATGTCTTAGGACAATTGGATTTAAATTTCATGAATTTTGAACTTTATTTGCATGCCCTAATAATTTTTAGTTTACAATCTATCTAGAAGCATGACAGATGATATTAATTTTAATTCAAAAGATAAATTTGTAAGATCATGAACTAGAATCAAACATGTTCCTTATTATAATATTATGAATATGATTGTATGATTGGATGATTATGGACTTAAAACCCTTTTGCATGCTTGAATGGATGGTTAAATTTTACTTTATGGTGTTTTTTTTTTTAAGTAAAGCTTGCATGTCTTGCCTCATCTCTTTAATTTCGAAGTTGTAACATTTTTTTTTAATCTTGCTCTCTTTAAATGTAATCATCCAATGTAGTATGCATGCTAAATTTATATATATGTTTGGTTTTATGTTAAATGCAATGTATGCTTTATTAGTAAGTAAATATGGATGCTAGATTTATTTATATATTTGATATATGATAAATGCCATGTGTATTTAAATAAGCATGATAAGATTATGCATATATATGATATATGATGAAAGCTTTTGCATGCTATATGAAACCTAAATTAAATAAAAAAAAATCCTTCATTAAATGTTAAGTCCATGTTTTTCAACATGATTAGTTACTTTCCATTGGACATAATAAAGCGAAAGTTTGTTTACTTTTGAGGCTTGTAGGTAAACTCAATGTACTCAATATTTGGAATATGTTTATGTTTTGACTAATAGATCTTACTTAAAAAACATTGTACATTTTAACGAAAAACTTGACTATATGATGTTAGAGGCAAAGATTAAGTAAATCACATAAGATACAATTAGACAAGGAGTCTTTCCTAATTAATCTAAGAGTCACATAGGATGTAATTGATAAGCAAAGTTATATACTTAATTTACTTTTCATAACTTGTTAGGTAAACTCAAGCTTGTGATAAACTAAATGGGATCCTAGCCCACTAGAAAAATAATTTTGTTTTAAATTAGTAGTGAAGGCTATTAATTTGAAGAAAATATTAAGAGAAACCAATTAATAGATTTAGACATTATCTATATTGGTTTTGAACAATATTATTAATACTTGTTCATATTTTATAAGTTGCTAAAAGGATGAGTAATAACTTATTACTTTGTAGCATATTTGATCCTAATAAGCTTACTAAGCTAACTTCAATAATTGGTTCCATAATCTTAAGCTTGTCATAAAACAAGAGAAAATGCTTTATATTATTGATAAACCATTTCTCGAGAAACTATAGGCTAATGCTAATGAAGTAATGTGACGATTTTATGAAACCCACAAAGATCATGTTGATCAAACTACATGGATTATAATAGCAAGCATGATACTTGAGTTGCAAAGGCAATATGAGAATATGGATCCTTTGACAATCACTAGGTACCTTAAAAAATTATTTGACAAATAAGAACAAATTAAAAAGTTTGAAACCTCTAAAAAATTGTTTTGGACAATGATGTCAGATAGCTTTCCGATTTAAGTACATTATCTCAAAATGATTAATTGGATTAAGAAATTTAGACAATTGAGATTTGTGATGGATCATAAGTTAAATCCTAATAGCTTTTCATAATTTGTAATGAACTTCAATATGGATCAAATGGAAGTAACATTACCATAATTGATAAATATGATTGACATTGCTGATAAATTCATAAAGAAATAAAAGCTTGATGTCTTATAGTTACTTCTTCAAGGCTAAGAAGAACTAGTGTAAAAAGAAAAAAAGGCAAAAAGGTTACAAAAAAAAAAAAGCTTCTAATATTGTTAAGCCTGCTGGCGACATTAAGGAAAACAATGTAAAAGGTCATTAAAAAAGGAATTACAAGGTCTACTTGAAAAGTTTAAAAGACAAGAAATTTAAAGAGACTTCTACTTTGATATGTTTATGATTGAGATCAATTTATCTCTTCTTAACATATCTTATTAGGTATTAGATACAAAATATGATTCCCATTTATGTAATTATATGCAAGGGTTAAAGAAAAATAGATTGTTAAAAAATAGTGAGGTCTTTTTGCGACATAAGGATGTATGATAATGGTTTGTATGTTCTTAGATTTAGAAATAAAAGGTGTTTGATTCCAAGTATGTTGTTTTTCTAGAAAAAGGAGTTTCTACTAGATAAAAGCAATGGGAGTTATGTAGAACTTGAAAAGGTTTAAGAAATATAAATAGATAGTAGAATGGAACCTAAGCTAATGGCAAATGCATTAGATCCGAAGGCAAAAGCTCAAAATACGTAAACTTTGTTGGTTAAATAAGACTCGACTTCTCGAGAGATATGAATTTTTTATAGAGAAAGGTGAGTTGATAATAAATGATTATCCTATTGCTTATCAAAAGCAATGTTTGACATTGATTATGAAAAATGGCTTGAGACTATGAAATTTGAAATAGAATCCAAAATAGAATTTATGTCTATAAACCAAGTTTAAACTTTGATACACCCACTTGAAAGTATAAGATCCATATGGTGTTTTATAAAAAATAATAATAATAATAACATGGATGGTAATGTACAAATGTACAAAACTAAGGTAGTTGCAAAATGATATAATAAAACACAAGGAGTTGATTTTAACAAAACATTTTTACTAAATAGCTGATATAATAGCTAAGGATATAATATATTGATGAGGATATAATAAAACAGAAAAAGTCCATAAGTAGCTACATATCATAAAATTGCATTCTTTAATGGAAAATAGGAGGTGTATATGACTCAACCCAAGAGTTTTGAATCCAAACAAGTTGCCAACAAAGTATGCAAGCTTAAAAGATCCATTTATGGACTCAAGTAGGCATCAATGAGTTGGAGCATATGTTTTGATAAAATAATTAAGGAGCTCAGATTCATAACAACATAGATGACCTTTGTGTATATAAGAAGACTAGTGGAACTGCAATCATTTTCATAGTGTTATATATAGATAACATATTGTTTAAAGGAAACAATATTCTAGTGTTATAATCTACTAAGATTTAGTTATAAAACAAATCAAACTTTTCATGAAGAATTTAGGAAAGGTAACATGCACACTAGAATAAAAATATGTAGGAATAAATCTAAAGGTTGCTTAGATTCTCATAATTCGAATACATAAACAAGTTGCTAAAAAGGTTTAGCATCAAATAATCTAAAAAGAGATTCTTATCACTATTACATGGTGTAAATTTTTCCAAAGATATGTGTCCTAAAACACCAAGTAAAGAAGATCACCTGGATAAGATTCCATATGCTTTGGCTTTATGCAATGCTTTGTAAGGGTGTAAATGAT